TCTCACTAATTTTACCTCTGAAAACAGGTGACCCCCACCTCTTTTTTTCGCTAGTATCTCCACTTGTATTTAAGATAAATGGACATTTTTTCATCCAAATAGAGACAAATGAACAAGCTTTAAGATGATACCAATAACTCTACATGTCCAAAAACTGACGAGAGCCTGATTCCACCACGCTGCATCACATATGGTTATATCGGAGGTCACTATTATAGTCATCTCCGGTTATGTCAAGACACATTACGAGTTTTACTACGAAACTTGCAACATAGTTAGGTCATATTGTATTATAGATGCCCAAGATTACAGGTGTTGCAAGAGAGTAACAAATACAAAGATCGGAGGAAAGATAACGAAGACAGATGCTTTAGCATTCGTAAGAGATTTACGGCACTTGCAAAACAATTACGTCATATGAGATACGTCGACGCAATTAAGTTACTAGGAGTTTTACAAACTTGCAGCACAACTTTAAAGTCATATAATTATATATATATATAAGTCAACCCAATTTAGTTAACAGAAATTGTACGGAATTTGTAACACAGTTAGGTAATTTCTATATTATATATTTGTGAAAGTTTGTCACTTTGGCCGCCTAAAACTTCCGAACCACTTAACTTTCAAATTTGACAAAACAAATGGTGGTTCAGAATCATCAGGACGATATGTGTTTGGTAGGACAGAAGGGTGCACAGTTTTACTGAAGAGCTCGAAGTCACTGTAGTTTAATTTTCAGTATTTAATTAGTTTCGTTTAAATATAATCTTGGGAAAGTTCGTCTTCTAAGACGCCATTGTGAACAAGTGAGGATTCCTTTCACTAGCCGTGCGCACTGGTTCCACGCCTTTGAAATTCTGGAGTGTACAACCACGAAAGCGGAATAGAGAATCAATCTATACATCTATTATATATCTGGCAACTTGGAAACACAAGTGTCACTTTTCATAAAACCAGGACAGCAACAGACTTGGAAGTAGGCAAGTACCTGCAAAAAGATAGATAGGTCCCACGACGCAGCCCGATTTTTGATTTATTCAGTTCCTGAATTTAGGAAAATATATTTGACAAAAAGTTCCCGTCCTTCTTTGGCCTTTGCGATTATTCCGCTGAGAAACGAAACAAATCTGCGTAGCTATCCTTCACAACGAAAGTGCCATAAGTGATATTTCGCGGGGCCCATTTTGTTTTGCGAGTATAGATCTAGACCTTCTAATTTTTTGCATCTCTCAAGATTTATTGCTCCATTCCAGTAAAGTGTAAATAATAGTAGGCCAATGTCTTTCAATTCATGTTAATGCACCGATCATTCCTTTCATCGAAAGGGGGCCCAGCTAGTATATTATATTTGTGACACTTCACACTTTCGCAACCTTAAATTTCCGAACCACTTAGCTTTCGAATTTGACAACATTAACGGCGGTTCAGAATCATTAAAAGGGTGCACAGTTTCATTGGGGAGGCTGAAGTCACAGTAGTTTAATTTTCAGTTATTCATTAGTTTCGTTTAGATCTAATCTTGGGAAAGTCCGTCTTCTAAGACGCCATTGTAAACAAGCGAGGCTTCCGTTCACTAGCCGTGCGTAGATTCCACACCTTGGAAATTACGGAGTGTACAACCACGAAAGCGGAATAGAGAATCAATCTATACATCTATTATATAATATTTGGCAACTTAAAGTCATATAATATTAGTCTACTCAATCTAGTTAATAGGAGTCGTACGGAATTTGCAACACCGTCAGGTCATATAATTTAAGTGTCCAAGATTAGAGGTGTTGCAGGAGAATAACAAACACAAGAATGGAAGAGGAGGGATAACAATGACAGACGATTTAGCTTTAATAAGAGTCTTATGGCACTTGCAACACAATTAGGTCATATACTAAAATTGAGTTCCCTATGATTAGAGGTGTAACAAAAGAGTAACAGATATATAAAGTCGACTAAGGATGAGTTGATGTCGTCGGGGCATTGAAAAAAAGATCAACTCATCCAAAGTTCGACTTAACCGAAGAAAAGAAGCTGGGATCTGAGAAAAAAAAATAACTCAAGCGAGTTCAAAACAGGTCGAGTGGACTGTGTGTGTGTGTGTGTGTGCGTGTG